AGGCCTGGCCAACCTTGCCCTTCCTGGCTATTGGTTTGGGGACTTGACTTCTGGGAATGGAGGGGCTGTTGCACGCCCATACTGCTCCCGTATCCTCTGGGGCCAAAGCACAAGAGCATGGAAGGCTGTCCCAAGGACCACATCAACCTTGTGGACTTCCACTTGGTCCTTCCAGTGGTTTGCAAATAGCTTAGACCTATTAATCCAGCAGTTCCCTATTTATACCCCTTTTGGGTGCATGTAATTGCTGACATAGTCATGTCCACATTAGCCCCATGCTCATATAGTTAGATCCTCCACTTGGGGGAAGTCTTAAGAAGCCCTGAAGCATAGTGAAGAAACAACCACAAAGAGGCGAGTGTTAACATAAATTATCATAACAATGAGCCAGTGGGGGGTGAGGAGGGGAACAATGGCCTAGCAAGCTTTCCCAGATGGATATTAAAACCATTGCAGAAAAGGGCAATAGAATCTCCCTCATCTCTGCCCCTATCCCAAATACAGGCCACGAAGGGATGGAGTTTCAGGAATATGTCAACATGCCTGCCCTCTTCTTACACAGGTCCCCTGCATCTGCTCTTCATTGCTCTTGGAGATGGTCAGGAGGAGGTAAAATGTCCCATGAACAGATATGTCACTGGCCACGCTCTAAGACAAATTTTCACCTTGAGGTGTTGAACCTCCTCATAAAATGTGATTCCACCCTAAAATATCTCACCCTCCATCCCCCTCTGCAGGCTGACCTACAGCCAGGGACATGAAAGTTAATCTGATACCATGTTTTCACTTCAGGGATGGAGGCTGATGGAGAGGTTTACAAATCACTTAGAAATTTATGTGAGCCACGCGACTTTGTTTGGGGGCTCATGATGAGAGTGTCATGAACACAGTCACACCTTTCTTGCAGATAAAGAAGCAGAATTATTAATCGCAGTTGTTGTAGAGAGGGAGAGATTCTTACCCTCCCTTGATCACACAGGTAAGACTCACCAAGGAAACTCTGCTACAAAGAGTACCTATCAGGCAGAGCTGCTGAAAGCAGCCCCAACTCCATTTTCCATTGTCACATGGAGATTAAGCAACTTTCCCAGCTGCCCAGCCAGGACTCCAGGTGTCATACCCAATCTAAACCCCACACTGATGCCCTGATCATGGGAAAAACCCTCCTCCGTTAGCAAGTTACTCATCAGGTTCTGGAAAGTTAAACTATTAGGAGAAAACCCACGCAGTGTGGCCAGGCTTGCAACCCCTCCTGACTTGTCAGAGAGGGGATACTGTCCTAAATGTGTTTTCAGTATTATTAAATGTCAGGGGATTTCATCATGCCTGAGCAGGGAGCTTTGACCCATAACACCCTGTAAATCACTCGCATGAGGAAGAGGATGCTCAGGGATGGAGGCCAGATGGGGTACATCACCAGGGGAAAAACACAGCCTTCAGTGCCCCAAAAAAGCAAAATCCTCACAGTTCCTGGTGCCATAATCCTCACTCCCCAGCACCCAACGGTGCTAAAATGAGGCTAGAAAAGGTTCAGCGTGGAAGTCAGCAGGAGTGCAGTGGCAGCACAGCTGAGCCTTTAAGAAAGAAAGAAACTGCAATCTCCAGCCAGAAACCAAAGTAGGGAAATATTCTGTGCTAATAAACAAAATGAAAGAGAAAGTTAAAACCATCCTTCTCCCTGTTGTACTTGTGATGTGTTTGGCTTTCAGTTCTCTTTGACAATCCATAAGAAATTAACACCACAAGATATACAATTATTGTCAAATGTGAGCAGGGCAATCAAAGCATTTCAAATCAATGTTTTGTCAACAAAAATAAATGAATGTATTTGCCATGAAAATTCCCACAAAATATTGGCCCTTTTTCCCCTGCAAAGCTAGGAATCTCATTTTATATCATCTCTGAAGTTCCTTTTCATCTGTCATCATATCTTGAAACGATAAGAATTACTCTCAGTAGGGAGTTACTTCTTTGCTTCCCTTTCAGCTCAAAATAGAAAACACTTTCTTTATTTTTTTTTAAATAATTTGAAATAAGCTTAATATCATCAGTGAAAATTCATCATCAGAACAGAGAGATCAAATCTTTCCACAATTCATAATAAAGCAGGGAGCTCTCACCTGGTAACTGGTGCCTACCAGCTTCCAAATGCAGCTTCAATATAATTAAATAATAATAATCCAGAAGATACAAAGCCAAGAATCCTGGAGCAGTACTTAAAACTGTGCCACCACCATTTCAGATGACTGAATGTGAATGTGAGTGATTTATTTGATTAATTAGTTAGGTAGGTTTCTAGCAACCCTCCACTGCATTTTCTAGAGGCTCCATCCAAAGCCCACTTAAGCCAGTGTAATAAAATCTTTTGCCTACAAAGGGCCTTCAGATAAATCCGTGGGCATGTGCCAAGGGTTAAATTCTGTTTCAACTTATGCTGGGTCTACTCCGCTGCAGTCCTCGGTGATTTCACTGGAGTTATTCCAGATTATCCAAAATGAAGGCTAACATGAGCCAGCCCTGCGAACACACACCTGACTGTGCAGAGGAGATATTTCCAAAGATAACCACCCTCAGGGACAATATTTTTTCCTGCAGTAGCATTCCCCTGCTCCCTGCTCCTCCCAGGGTGGGAGAGAGCCCTGGAAAATACTTTGGGGGGCAAATAATGGGGAGGGAGGTGAGCTCTAAGCAGCACAGTTCCCCCCAAAGATGTTACACTATTTACATCAACTGGAACAGAGTGGTTTGGCTGACATGGAATGCCATCTCCCTATCCTGGGTGGGCTAGCATCCCTCCAGAGCTGTGATCTCATTTCTCCCACCTTCGCAGAAGTACCCCCATCTGATACCCTCATGATGACTGTTTGCTGCTTCCACCTTTTCCCCAGGCTCCATGTGGGCAGGCATCTCTCTCCCCGTGATCCAACCCTCTTCCCTGAAATGAAAAGCTGAAGGGGGTTGGTGGTTGCAACCAACCATCCCATTGTGCTGGGGTGGCATGTGTGGCACACCCATCCCCGTTGCATCCCCATCTCCCCACTCCGTCACCCTGCGAGGTCCCCAGCCCTCCTAAGCACCATGGGGGAACCAGGGACAGCTGGAGAAGGAGGATGGCAAACGTTGGTGGTCCCTTTTGGGGACAGATCCTTCAGGTCGGGGCAGGTCCTGGGGTCTGGCCACAGGCAGCACTGCAGCCAGGGACAGCCACTACGGCTGGATGCAGGTGGCCACGATGCCAAAACGCAGGCAGCTGTCTTCCCCAACAAGCCAGCTTGCCATCGTTTTACATTTCCACTCACAGCACATGGCTGTTTGGGGAGGAAGGAGAGGGTCTTTATCTTATTTTCATTTATTGGCAGCAAAGGAAGAGAAACCCCCCTCAGCCCTCCTGCACTATGCAACAGGGATGGGAGCTGCGCTCCCTCGTTTCTGAGCCCAGGAAGGTAATTGCCTCTCTTGCTCCAATCCCTGAGAAACCTTTAATATATGTCTCCGCCAACTTTGAGGCCTTGTCCAATCTTGACAAATTGTAGTGGAACAAATCCTGTTTGGTTGTAATACAGCGATTCGAGGGAAGATGAATTCGAGAGAGATGGCAGGTCCCGCGCAGCCGTTTAATGTATTTTGGCTGGGGGTGCTCGGCAGCAGCAGAAGAGGTGAAGCACGATGCTCAAGAAATGTCCCCCTGCATGGGGAGGGACAGGTCAAGACCCCAGCCCGGATGCTGGCAGGGACGGAAGGAAATTCCTCGGGGACATTCTTCTCCATCAGCCAGTGCATGCAGGGAACTTCAGCTATGTTCCCAAAAAAATGCCTTTGTAAACGAGGCGGGTAGTTGTCCCCATCTCACCAGGGAGGAACGTGGCGATAGTTATTCCTTCCTCGACATGTCTCTTGAGGACTTCATATCATCCTCCCTCCACCCCAGGATCCCCTGGCCGTCCTGGGATTTATTTTTAAACTGAGCCATCCAGAGGAGATGCCCGGGGTGGGGAGAGGCATTGCCATCAGCTGTTGATCATATGTTTGTCCAGGAGAAAAAGCATCTATCAGATGGCCAAGTTATCCCCCAAATGGACCAGGGACTTGGGACCAAGACCTAATCCCACCAGCTGACATGGAAACTGAAGGACATCAGAAATCTCCTGCCAGATTCAGTCTTATTACTTATACCAAAAAAAAAAAAAAAAAAAAAAAAAAAAGGCATGAATCTGGGGAGAAGGGGAAAGAATTTTCACATTATCATATACATAGTCATATGCATATAAAGCTGGAATTTGATTTTTGACAATTAAAGCAGCCTATAGGATTGCAGGAAGAGGATATTTCAGTTTTAAGACAGTAACAGAATTGTGCTTCTAACAGCCTTCTGCATACAGGTATAACCTATTTGTCAGGAGATGAGTGTTAGTCCCCATTGCAGAGCAAATAAAAGAAAATCCAAAAATGTACCACATCAGGAAATTGACAGGGAATAAGCTGTTTTACTAAATCTATGACGGAAAATATATGGAGCGATACTGCCAGTATTAGATTGGGTCACAGTTTCAAATTCCCTATCCTGCTTCACCCCAAATCAAGATATATGTATTTATTTATAAAAATAAGAGATATGCATAGGCACACATGTATGTATTTATAATTGTATGTGTGTGCATGTGTATACATATATATACATAAGAATTTTTATGAAAGGAACAATCTTAAAATATTTCTTAATCCATCTATGCTTTGATTTTTCTGCACATTGAAATGTACTGTAAATCATAAAATCATAAAGAACCTCTCTGACTTGATTGAAATGCCACCCCAGTGCCATACAAATACAGGGATGAAATCTATGTGTCCTTCCAAAAGCTGTTTTCTCCCAATTTCTGTTGAGTTGGCCTCTCCCAACTGAAATCTCCCATCTGAACATGTTCAACAAGCTCTGTTCACTTAATGCAAATTATATAAAAATTTGATATTTCTTTTAGATGTTTAATGCTGTTTTGTTTTTGTTTGTTTGTTTGTTTTTTTTTAACAAGGGAAAACTAGAAGAGGACACACATTCAGATGGTTTTCAGACAGAGCCTTTTATTCCACAAACCTGTCTCAGAATCATTTGGCCAAGTTTTGTCATCATTAGACCCAAACAGCAAATATCATAAATATGTCTGAGACCAGGATTTACATCCTCACTTTGCCTAACCTATTATCAAGAAGGAACATTAACAGAAAAACTTTCTAACTACTAGTTTACACAATTAATTCTTCCTCAATTTTTGGTTTGCATTCGTACTGATAAAGATCAAGATTTACCTAAGTATTTTTGATCTACAAATCTTCATTTGTTAATTACTGAAGAGAATTTTCTGTTGCAATGAAATTATTAAGAACATGCTTTTTCTGATTCTGATTAAATAGCAAGGTTGGATGACTATATTGGCAGAATACACAAATCTGATTTTATGTTTCCTCCTCAAAAGTGTTAGTTGTGGATATTTGGGGAAAGATTATATGAAATAGAGCAAGTGCAGCACAAGCCTTCCCCGAAGAAATCATCCCAGCTCCCTGCAATGAGCGGGTTACAGATCACCAAAGTTGTGGGTTGCTCTGATCTCTCTGTTTTCAGGGACATCAAGACAAATTTCTTACTGAAAAGTGAGAATTTTGACTATTCAGAATGCGATTCCTTTTTTTTTCAAGGAATATTCTGCAAATTATGGATAATCGCATGTTGAAAGGCTCAGCCTTGCACAGGCATCTCTACCTGGAGATTCTCAGACGAGAAACAGCTAGAAATGAGGCATGCACAGAAAGTTTGTTTGCAGGGTTTTTGACGCTGCTTGCTCTCCCCGTGGGGGAGGCAGACTCTGCTGCAGAAACCACCTTGTCCTTTAGGGTTTTAGAGGCCCTGGCACAGGAGGACCCTTTTGCCAAGGCTACAAAATGCAGCTGATCATTGGGTTGTTTCACAGATGTAAACGAGCAGAATTTGAGTACCTGACTGCAGAGCAGTTTTACTTATTAGCTTGTGGTCAAATTCAGCGCAATTATGTGGTGAGATATTGGAATGTGGTCTGAGCTTTACCCACAGTGGCACTATTTGTTTGAAACCGAAAGCAATCGGAAGGAAAACAAGCTATCTGGCCACAGACCATTGAAAGCAATAGGCAGTTGCAAGGTCAAAAGCTTTGGCTGCCTGAAGTGAATTTAGGAGAGAGGGGAAACTGCTACAGCATTTATGAAATTCAGGCAGTAAAATAAATACTGGAGGGCAGAGCTGGTGGATGCTGCCCACAACATCAAGGCACTGTTTATAGCCATTGGGGTGGATGCAATTTTTTTAGCGACACAATTAATTCTGGTCAAAATAGGGAGAGTGTCAACAGCTTGCGTAGAAATGTGATATAAAACATTTTTTAGATTGTGCATGTTCGGTGTCTGTAAGCACACAAGGGATGGGAGGAGGGATAGGGGATGAGGGCCTTTTTACTGTACATCCCTCCTGATCTTGAGCTGAGAAATTTGGGGAAATATCTGAGCAGTCCTCCCAAGGGAATGCCAGACTCCATCTCCATCATGTGGGAGGCTCTAATCCTGAGGCACACTGCATCCTCAATGACATAGGGCACTAAGATTATTTCTAAATTACCACCTCCTGTTCAAACAGCCCACATTTGCTCTCCACAGGCACCAGGTCCACTGGTAGCTCCCTGGTCTCCAAGACATCCAAACAGAAGCAAAGTTGAAATAAAGACTCATCTCTCCCTACCCAGATACTGGGCTTGGTTTGGGTCTGCTTTGTTGTGTCCAACACTTGAATTCCCCTGGGCATGTTCAGATCCTCATGTTGCAAAAATGGAATTGCAAATCCAGATTAAATATTCCTTAATTTCCTAGGTGCCATGCCTCTTTTCCCAATCCTGCCACTATAATGCACATATAAACTAACTTGAGAGGTCCTGAAGGATCTCTTGGACATTAGCTGGTTGAGGAACTGAGATACAACACCCAACTTCCCTAAATCCAGCTTCCCTAACACCATCCAGAGAGCCAGGACTAGAGTCCAGATCTCAGCTGAAGACCCTCCTTCAGCTGCACAATCTCTATTCTTTTCTTGATGCCTTATGAAAGACTCCTAAAAACAGAAAGGTAAAAATCTTTTCTTCGTGGGTCATGAGGATAGACCAATAAGTCCTTAGGCTTAAACCATGGCAGGAGGCTTCGGGTTAGGCGAATGCTTTCTAAAAATGAGGATTTGAGCATTGGGAATTAGACACCCCGTCACCAGAGGACTGAAAAAGAAGTTGGGCAGGAAAAGCCGATAAACTGCCACTCTCAGGAAACTTATTGCATAAGTATGACCCATCACATGTCCCATATATCAATTGGCAGTCCAGAAGGGAAATATGGCAGCCCTGCTGTCCCTAGACAGAGCAGGGAATGCGGCAGGCAGCGTCAGATGAGGACTGAGGAGACAGCCGAGTTAGGCTGCAGTGATGGACGAGCTAGAGGAATGGGTGAAAAATGGGAGCAAAGGCTAAGGAACCTTAGCCACGGCGAAAAGAACTCAGCAAGACCAGCACGACCCTGTTCATCCCCATCTCTGGGTGTTGCTCAGAGTCCATAAATCTACATAGCCACGGATTTTTTCTGGCTGTCAGGGGAGAGGGAAGGGAGACGTACTTTATTTCTAGTCCCAGTGCTTTTGATGAGCTGCAGTATTGCCCTTCATACTCCTCCAGTCTCAATAAACCTGGCTAATTAGCATCCTGACCACTCAATTAATTAGGCAGTACACTTAATTATGACAAACTACATTATTCGCTATAGCCCAGAGTCCAATGGACATTAGCGTCAGGTTATGTTCAGTAACAATTTGATTTGAGAGGGAGTTTATTGACCAGAAAAGACATATGATGAGATTAAAATAATCAGTAGAACTAGCTCAGTGCTATTGGCTTGTCGTAGCTGTGGGCTTGGGTTATAAAGACATCGAGGATGGCCAAATTAGTTGCTTCATTCTCATTAAGAGCCACTGCATAAATGGAAAGATATTGGCAGAGTGGGAAGGGAGAGGCAGCCAAGCTACACGAGGGTCTCAAATAAGATGCAGGACAGTGGGTTTGGTTTGGCTGCTTCTTTCTCTTGGTCATGACCCTGCTCTTTGCCAAAGATAAAGGAGAAGCCCAGAGACTTTACTGCTCCTATAGCACAGAAGAATAAGACTTGCCCATATACAAACCTCTTTTGGGAAGGCAACAGCCATTTTCCCCCGCAAAATATCTGTCACTCTTTCTGAATAGATGGCATTGACCTGCCAGTGTCCCAGTGGGAGTCACATACATAGTCAAAGGGCTGACCTAACCCAACAAGGGTGCATCTGCAGAGCTGCGCTGGAGCAAGCCAGGCTGATCTTTACTGCCCCTCCACCCTGCTCATCTTCTAGCAGGAGTGCCCAGCACTGCTGATCATCACAGCATGCACAGGAGTGCATGGACCAGAAAGGGGATGGGGCCCAGGTTTTGGTCCATCCCATCTGTCTTGAGAGCATCCCATGCAAGAAGATGGAAGGTGACATGCAAAAGGCTTTTGTTGTAAGGGTAAATAGGATTGATGGGCAGCGTGAACTAAGGAATTCAAGTCAACATGAGCACAAAATATTGGGGGTGGTTCAGGGTCCTTCAGTAATGCTGCTAAACCTCCCCTTTTCTCCCCAACTCAGCTAAGCAGCAAAACTACTATTCTGCCTTTTTTTTTTTGATACTGCCTGTTGCTTCAAGAGTGATCACAGACAATTCAGGCAGACGTAGGAATGAACTCTTCATTGCAGGTTTAATTCCAATGCAGATGATGGGCTCTGTGGGTTTTTAAAGGTAGTTCCTGACCTAAAAACCTGGCTTGCAAGCACAACCTTGCACTTCTCAGTCAGCCTTGATGTTTTCCCCAGAAAGGGTCTATGGCAGCCTCCAGGTCATGTCAGTCATCTGTGGTTACTCTTCCCCAGTTCACCAGCCAAGGATAAGCCCAGCAGAAAGGCTGATGTTGCCATCAAGACTTCGTGCAGAATGTGGGATCTGCCAGCATCCCCAAAGGCTGTGCGCTTCACCACCAAAAACACTGACCTGCTGCAAGTCTTGACTGGCACCAAGACAACAAAAGTACTTTTATTGAGGTGAAGAGTTTTGAGAATCCCTGTAGATGTGGACGAGGGGTGAAAGAACCACAGCTGGCCCCTTGGAAAAGGAGCATATACATTACAGTATCAAAGACAGAGAGTGGGTTCTTCTTGGATTTTCTTTTCCTCAGAATCAAGAAACAGGGAGAATAAGGCCCTTCTCTTTGAATTCAGAAATGTATTTTCTCCACCAGTATTAGCCCGGAGTCAGTTTCCTGATTCAAGGCTCTTCTGTGGAAAGAAATCAGTGAAATGGTCAGAACAGGGAGAGCTGGAACACACCTAAGCTGAGTGATATGCACATCATCAAGTCAAGGGATAATCCCCATGAAAAACAAAACAAAACAAAACAAAGCAAAGCAAACCAAAACCAAACCAAAAAAAAAAAAAAAAAAAAAAAAAACAAAAAAACAAAACAAAACAAAACAAAAACAAAACAAAACAAAACAAAAAAAAAAAAAAAAGAGAAAGATTATTCCTCAGTGAGGGGAAGGAAAAAGAAGAGATTCACTGGGAAATCAGATTCGGCTCTTGGCATTTCCATCACAGCTTTGTTCTCCCAATATCTCCTGGTTACAGTGGCCAAAAAGGTGGGAGCAGCCTACAGTTGTGGACTTTTTCCATCATCCTCAAACTCTGCAGATTGAAGTTTTCACAGAAGTGTTCCTTCCCAGCTGGAAAAGACACACCAAAATGCCATTTTCATGGCAGTTTGGATGGGACCATCCTGCTCCAGGAGACAAGAAGTTCAGCCACAGAGATATGGGTTGCCCTCAGGACCAAGGAAGGGGGTCAGCTTTAGTTTATTCATCATTAGGGATGTTGTCCATCCCAGGTCACACCTGAGTATCTCACCACAGTACAAAGCTGTCCCCAGTCACTCTTAGTCCTTTCCCTCCCATTCCCATTTCCTTCCCAGGTTCACCAGGAGATGTTCATCATCCAGATCTCTTAGCTTGGCACATGCAAAGTGGAAACTTTCCACAGGACAATGAATCAGCCATATCTGAAGAGAGTTTCCCAAAAGATTGTACCTGCTGCACAGTTTCCCCCCAGCTAGTTTTTCCTCCTAAATTGTGCAGAAGTTTAAAATACTTGATTATATTTGATTTGATGAAGGAGGAGGTATTATTATTTTAAATTTCTTCATACATTTTTTTGACTTTATTTGACATAAACATTTTCCTGTCCTGTAGAAACATACTTGTCCCTCATCAGAAACTTAGGAATCAGAGAAGAAAATAAACTTAGTTATTTTTAAAAGGCTTTCCTGTGTGAAAGAATATAGGGGGGGAAATATTCATATTCATCCTCAAAAAACAAATATAGATTCTATATCAATTTTCAATGACTTGAAATGTGATTGGAAGTCTAGGAGTCTGGTCAAAGGCAGAGTTAAGGCTCTTTGGATACTGGGAAACTTTACACCTTAACATATTGGATTTCTTTTAAGTTTAACATTAACTCTGCATGTCTAGGTTTATAGCCCTTGGCTCCAGGATAATTCTAATATCCCTGTAATTTATTTTGCCATAATTACTGATATGCACTGCCAACTTTAACTGTGTTTTAGGACTGGTGCCACAGTCCCATGAGAGAAGGTGGTGATCCCTTATGTTGTGAATGGCCTGGTCCCATTCAGAAAAAATAATAGGCACACATAATTTTCTCAAAATGACTCCAGTCTAAGGACAGGGCCAGCTTCAGTCCTATCGGGAACAACAAGGGGACCAACACTTTAGAGAGAGGGAGGTCTTCGTCCTAGTGAATGATTGAAGGGGAATATTTCAGTTATAAGGAGTAATGGAGAAGAGGAGGAATAGCCATTAGTCTTAAAGAAAGCCTATTCGAATACAGTGCATGCCCAGTTCTGAATGGAGCCTCAGCAATACACGGGGTCCAGGTCTACCTTATTCTGCTATCAAGATCACTGAGGGCAAAGAAAAAAAATAATTGGCACCTGACACCAGTCTAAATTACTATTACATTCCTGGGCTAATGAACAGGTTTCCTGTTAATTCTCATAAAACATCACCAGTTCCCACAGAGCAAGGACTGTGATTTGGGAAGGACTGGACATATTCTGTGCATGGGGTAGGGAAGCTTTAGATCTCTGTTTCTTAGAAACAAATGTCAGCTGCTGCCTCTCCTGTGAGATGTGTATGCATAGGCTCTACATACGTGGGCTGCACTGACTTTATGTTTGCCTGGCTCGTGGTCTCCAACTGGTGTTGACCCCTGGGGTTTGGGACAGCCTGGCCCCAGGGCTGACACCTCACACACCCGGACTGTTCTTCCCACAACAACATCTCATGCAGGCAGGAATTTAGCACAGCGTCCAGGTAGGACTGCATCCAGAGGTAGATCCATAGATCCACACCCTCGAGTAGCATCACATCCAGGTGCACGAGAACCTGTCCTGTGCTCTGCCAGAGAGAAACTCCATGCCTTTCCCTAGATGTGACCTTCCTAAGCTGCTCTCTAACTCCATCTCCTCTAACACACTTTGCTACAGCGTGGTCTCAAGCATGAGGAAAGCAAGCACTTGACATGAGAGTGCAACCCTCCTCTGGGCTACTAAATTAGCAAAGTGTTTGACACATACAACCTCCAGCGTGGCTTCCATGTAGTGTCCCAACCAGAATTCACATGATGGCTACGCTTATCACAGCTCGCTGTGAAGAGTTGAGGCCACCTCAAGCTATCCAGGCTTGGCAGAAGCAGCGTTGTAAATGCTTGTCCCAGATGGAGAGGACATTTGCTCAGGCTAACCTGCGCTCAGTAGTTCCAGGAGCTGTCTGAACCATGAATACCTCACAACATGTCTCAGAATCCCTGGTTCCATCCCCAGAAAACAGATGCAAAACTCAACTACATGGGCCCAAGAGCAACACATTTCATTTTCTCATGAATGATTTCCCATGGGTAAGGAAATCTGGACCAAACAGAGAACTGCTTTAGCTCTGTGAAATGGAGGGAGATGGATGGGTTGATAGACAGAGACACTCACATGAGAAAATCTAAGACCTTCATTTCTCTTAACAGCTAATTTGCAGAAATGAAGCCCAGGAGAAAATGCTGAACTCAGAGGTAATCCCTCAGTGAGGATGAGACACAAATCAGGAGATAGGAAGAGGATTGCTCTTCTCCCCAGATCTCTGCTTCAAATGGTACAAAGACACCAGTTGGACTACACGTAGCTATAGAGTTTATCACTCACTAATCTCCCAGAGAGCAGAGCTTGGGGAGAAGTTTTCTTACTGAAAATCTCTTATAGCCAAAAAATGGAGTTTTAATGATATTGAAGCATTTCTCAGATACATTTCAATTTCACTGAATTTTTGGTGCTTAAGTTCCCTTCTTAATTCCAAGAAATTAAAAATAGAATGAAATGCATTAAAAGAGACATTTTCATTTTGCAGCTGGGAACAACTATTCAAATTCATTTTGAAAAAAAGGCAAAACTTACAGCCAACTTGGAGTGTTCCTAATTGAAACAAAATATTGCAGCCTGCTCACAACCAAACATCTCAATTGACCAAAGACAATTTTTTCCAAATAGTCAATCTGCTGAAGTACATAAAGAAATATTCATTTCCATTCCAATCCAATTTCAAGAATACTGATGTTTTTATATCTGCCCTGCTTTAAGAACAGACCCAGAATATCTGCCTCTCCAAATTTCCCTTCTGGGTTTCTGCTGCTCTCCCTGCAGCCCCATCTCCCACTGGATGAACCCACCGATTTGGCCAGGCTGGTTGCATCGCTACCAAGGGCACTGCACACCAGCAGCCATGTTCATCCCCCCACGACTTCAGTCCATCCCCAGCTTCAGCTGATCAGCTTCAACCCCCCTCCAGTCCCTTATACTCACATGGTGCTGGCTCGGGCACCAATTCCAAAGAGACTTGGGCCAACAGCTTCAAATCTGGGATGGACTGTTTCCCAGTTCCCTTCTCCCAAGCAAGGATTGCTGGCTGCACCTTACTCACAGATAATCAGATCATGCTATGGCTTATTTTTCGCTCGAGCACAGCTCCTCATTCTGGCATTGAATTCAGCCACAGAGAAAGCTTTGCCATGGACTTTAAGACAGGACAACGGCAGGGGAACATTTTTTTTTTTTTTCAGAGATGCTCTGAACATGGAGCCTTTCAAAGGTTCATCCCTTGAGGTCCCTCTTGCCTGCAGAGAAGGACCCAGAGGGAAGGGCCATCATCTGGCCAAGACTGGGCTGTCTCGTTGTCAAGTGCAGCACACTCAGGATTTATCTGCTGGATGGTTTGCGTGGCAAGGTGTGGGCAGGAGAATAACAGGAGTCAAGGACTTCTCCCCAGCCACATCTACCCAGCACCTTGGTATGAGCAGCTTTTCCCTCCAAGCCCATCCTCCTGCCCTACCCAAAGTGTTCAACAGAAGTGCTACTGACTGCCTAGAAACTGGAGAGACTCGGGCAGCCTGGGACATTAAAAGGGAAGAGATTTCATTTGTTTTATGGTTTTTAATGACAGCATTTCACCCACACCATCTCTTCAACCACTTCTCATCTGAAAAAGTCACTCCACCTCACCAGCTCCAAATATTATCCTGTGTATGAAGCAGGAAAATTGGGAAGGCAATCATGGGTGGATTCCTAGAGCACCTCTTGAAGCAGCACCGCATCCAGACCAGCTATGGGCAGGGGAGGAAAATACGTCAGTGAGGTAACACGAGTCCGGTCCACAATCCCACCACCCTCATGATCACAGACTGTAGCCTGTGGTAGCTGATCCGTGGCCATTCTCCTCTCCCAGCGGCTTGCTGTCTGCGGCATCTCCACACTCTGCACCCAAAGGTGTTAACGGCTGAGCATAGCTGTGCCGTAACACCCTGGCTACCACAGAAACCATCACAGAGGTACCACTGCCCACTACTCCCAGGGCTGATTCAGCTTACAAAATGCAGCCTGGAAGGGAGCTCAGACCCCTCACAGCACCACGCCACCCTTACTAGGGTGCCCATGCCCCACAAGTCCCTGAAGCAACCAGAGGGACCACGCACAGAGAGCTGGCGTTGAGCCATGGTCCTTGCTGTCAGTCAGAGAGGGCTGAAAGCCACTTTGGAGGTCTGCTTTTTGCTCCCCGCAGAGTGCACCCATGCCAAAGAGGAGGAGGGAATGGTGCAGAGTCCGTGCGTGGGCCTATCCCAAGTCTGGGAAGGCTAATAGTCACTTTTTAAAGGAATACACAAAACCAGAACTGACCGGAGTAAATTCAACATAGCAATAACTGATGGAAGCCACCCCATGCTGCTGTAGTCAGGAAGACGAGCAGTAGGAGCACAGAATCTCTTTCTCCTTTGACTTTACAAGGTTCAGAGCATGAAAGAGCCTCTCTTCTAGGTGTTACTATTACCCACATCATTAAATGCAGCAATCCCCCCACCTGGGATTCCTGGAGAGCAGCTCCCATGAAGGACATAGGCCACGGTCCTGCTAGAAACAAGATATATAATGCAAAGTGAGTGCAAAAAGGTGCCTGCAGGAGAGGCAATCTTCACCGTCGGCTTCATCCAAGTGGAGAGCCTGATGGTGGTCAACAACAAAAAGCATCCAACAGGCAAAGTAGAAACTCATGATAAAGGGTGAAAATGGGGGAAGTGAGTTTGCAAAGGAGACAATATAACAAAGAAGGCAAATTTGGTAACTGGTAGAAAAGGGAAGAAAGGGATAAGGGACATATCGCCTTACAGAGCAGGAGGCACTGAAGAACATTCTTCAGAGCTCTGTGGGCTGCAGAGGCACAAGAAGCAATAATTTGCTCTACTGACCATTTGGGAGGGGGGAGAGGCCCGTGACACGGTCCTCTCTCTGTCTCATTCCTTCTCTCCCTCCCTCCCTCTCAGACAATCAAGTGAATTAAGTTTGCAGAGTTACGTAGGAGGCATTGGGCGTCAGATACAATTACTCACCCGCTGCATCATAATTACTGCAAATGGTCCATTAAAGGAAAATTATCATCAATATGATATTATCAGACAGCGGGTAAATGAATAAAGGAAAGTGCTTATTCTTCCATTGTCCTGTTAATAGAGACGTCTTTGAAATTGATAATGTGAAGGATGCCACCTCACTGGGGACTGTGGGCCAGAAGGGTGCCGTGGGGAACTGTGGGTGTTGACACACAAACAGGACCCACCTTTTGGGATGGAGGTACAAATGCAGATGTTCACCTTCCTCTGATTGTCCAAGCAGTGGAGGAGGAGAATAGACTAGGACTATTGGGCAAGGCGTTATCTCTGTTCAGGACACCACTGTCCCTTTGGCCCAAGGGATCCAGGATCATATTCTGCAAATGGTCCTTCAAACTCAGTGCCAACAAACTTCAAGGGACACAAATCCAATCCAACATGCAAACCCAGACCTGGGCCAGATCATTAACACAACCTTGCTCTTAGGAGACCTTTTCCTCGATGGCTGCACCTGGAGATGAGGGGATCAGAGTTTCTCATCATGAAAGCACTTTTGCACTCATCATGATGAAATCAGGCCACAACTGCAGAAAAGCATCAACTAATTGCAGCTCTGGATCAGCAAAAGCGATGGTTTTGTGCACTGTTGGGCTCTGAGTGTTGGATATCTGTAAAAAGCTCAACCTTTACCTTCACAACTGGGAACTGGTATTTTAGAGTTAGAGGGTTGGGGACAACTGTGCTGGAACAATGAGTGACACATGCCCAGGACAATATGAGGTGTCCTGCTGAATGATAAAAATAAGGAGAAAAGTAGATGAGATCTGGCTCCTGTGGATCACCAAGAGGTGTCCTGGATGCTCAGACCACCCTAATAAAGTCTGTCGGCATGACACAGCCCAATTATCTGGCTGGGAATTCCCAAGGTTTAAGGCAGGTTTGGGGCTGTAGCACCCAGTATTATGGTTGCAACAGTCTCTTCAGCCCTTCAAAATGGTGATCAAAACACACAGAGCACTGCAGGGAAAGAGAGCAGGGTCCTTCCAGAGCAGACAACATGGGCCTTGCAGCTAGCATATCTGGATTTTGAATAGTTACTGCTGCAGAGGAATAATGCAAGAAAGGTCAAATCTCTTGTTTCATGCATTAAGACAGTGGTTTTCCACCTGAGGCCCCCAGGCCACAAAAGCTAAGTCTACCCTAGGAAATTCTATGAGTGCAGAACTATTTTCTAGCAGTAAGGCCCAAACCTTTCAGCCTTACCAATGTAGGCAGTGGAATTCCAGCAGTCTGTGAAGTTCTGCTAATTAACACTGGCTAGTTAATTACAGTAGACATAGCCAAATGTTAGTTCTGAGTGATTTTTGAAGAGTAAATAAGTAAAGAACCTGCTAACTAGCAGTTTACATTTACTAGATTAGAGGTCTGAACTTCCACGAGAATAATTTAAGGGCCACAAATTTAAATACATAAACAAATCCTGCTGCAGCAAACTTTTTCCTGGCAGGAGTCAGAATGAAGGTCCATGGGATGCATTATACCATCTCGGTTCCTTGTGGGCTCTCTTGAGCTATTTCCAGCTGAACTATTTCTGAATCTGCATATACAGAATTTGGGGGAAAACACACCAAACTTTTTCCAGCTTCCTTGCTTCCACATCTGGGAGACCTCTTGTGCAATCAGATGCCTCCAATCCTATAGTAGCTGTGTTTCACACATCATGTCATGGAGATCTGGATAAAAGGTGTTTTGATGGGAACCATCCGGCTAAAAGGTGTTTTGATGGGATCCATCCGGCTAAACAGGGTGTCTGCACTGGAGACACCGCCGTGTCAGACCCCCTTTCCCATTGATGGAGAATGAGTTGTACAGTTAGTGGAGCTGAGAGAAGTTTTCCACTCTTCCTAAAGCAGAAAACTACATCTGAGGAAACAACCTACTTTCTCAGCTCTGTGGATGGCACAGATCTAAACTTCTGGTTGTAACAGGACCATAAACACCCTACTCAGGTGGAGACACCTATGTGAAGACTCTCAAAACAGAAGGGATGGATCCCAGCCTTTAAGTGACTGGTAGGACACCCATGAGCTCCCCCACTCCAGTGAAGTAATATCCAGTTGTTGTGACTCCTGGTCTCACTGTGATAACAATGTGATAACCCATTTGAGTGCCAGGAGCAGCTCAACAGACCCAGAGTCTGGTTGCAACCCCTTGCTCCAAGCTCTAGCATGCAGCGTTTTCACCTGGCTATTTACAGTGTCCTTCTCTCATCTTCCTCCAGAAATCTTTCTTAGCATGAAGGGAGATGGGACATTGTGGCCCTAAATTATCACAAGGTCTACACTGCAACATGCACATCCTCATGTGAAAGCACGGTCTGAACCATAATGAGACCCGCTTGAAAGAGAAGGAAGTGCACTAGGACACTCTTGACCCTTGGAGGCTGCTGTATGCCCCATGGTCTGCCCATTAGCAAGCTGGTGGGTCCACCTCTAGCACTGGGAGACATTATCCACATCCCTAGAACTGTGATCAGGCGCAGACTGGGATGTCCACGAACAAGCAAGAGATGTCACTTGCAAGAGGTGGAGCGGTAGCAAAGCCAGCCAGAGCCAGCCCCAGCTGCAGGACCAAGGAGCATCCTCAGTTTAGTTGCCTAACAGACGCCCGGCGAGAAGCACTAGAAACACTCACCGCTTACACGCTGCTGAGGTGACCTGCTATAACAGGGCTGCCTTTTCCCTCCTCCAGCACATCGGTGACCAGACACTGGGGTGACAAGGACCCTTGTAAGGCCATGGTGAGGTAGATGGACTCTGCCTGGGGCAACCAGTCCCACTCTCTGGTTCTTCATGCTCTGCCAAGAGTCCTCTGTCCCAAGAGGGCCTGAGATAGGTAGCCTTCACAGAAGAGTGAGCATCTGGCCAGAGCAGGAATACGCCTGCGGGGCCAGGTTTGGTAAAGCGGCACGGAGCTGCATCGGTCTCAAGTGTAGAAAATAGTCAGTGAAGGGAGTAAAGCGGATCTGCTGCTATTCATTTCACAGCTGTAGTGGGATTAGTGGAACGAGGGCGATGGGGTAAGCTGCCCCTTTTATCTCATTCAAACATGTTGCTAATTCAGCAGAGCACCGCAGCCAGGAGCAGCTCCCAGCCTAATCCACTGTATCATTCTCACCCAGCGTGAAGAAACGAGAATTTTAATCCGCTCCCCACCCCCTCCACCCCATCAGCTGCTCCAGCGGGCTCTGCCTGGCCTAACCAGGCATGGGGACCCACTCCATGCCTGGCACTGCTTCCCCCGGCCCTGTTGACTGGCTCTCTGGGAGCTGGGAGAGGTAGATTCTCAGCTACAGCTCCCACTCTCCGCTTCATGGGCTGAACTGGGCTGTTGGTGGTCCCACGCAACCCCAAGCTCCTGGATGGCCACAGGAACAGAACACCAAGAGCATCAAGGGTAAACGCATCTTGAGAGACTTCAAGTGGCATCTTTGATGTGTGAGTTGGGTTGTTCTAAGAATTTTCTTTCATGTCCAGAAAGATGGCGGTGGAGAGGTGGTGTTTCTGTGTCAATGAGCAAAGCACTATGCAAGGTGCCACAAGGACAAACATTGGCCCAGACAGACCTCCAAACCTGGGAAGTTAGGAAGAGGACAAACCAGCAGATGACAGAGGATGTGGTGTCCAGGGCTCATCATCCTGCAGCTCTCCTTTGAATTCTGCAGGGGAGGTCAGAGCTTCCCTTTTCAGGCAACATCAGCCTCTCAAAGAACATGCAACAAACTGTAAGATGTCTGCCTTCTGCTGGAACCACAGTCCCTGAACCATTTTCCACCACAAGAAATGCCACTTGAGATTCCTCCCTTCTGAAACTCTTCTGCACTCCCAAACCTTTCAGCCATGCCTTTGTTCCCAAGGAAATACTGATCCACAACCCTGTCCCAGGTTTTCACCTGTGAATCTCAAAGCACTGTAAGAACTGAGGGGTCATGGCCTGATGTGGCAGATGGCAAAAGTGAGATGGAAGGGAAGTCTCTGAGCTTCCATAGGTCACACAACTGACAGACTCTGGAACCCCAGCAGAAATACAGAGTCTGAGCACAAAGAAGAACACAGATTTTTTGGCTCTGAACCTTCAAGGCCAGGCCCGAGTATAAATTTTAATTAACAGTCATGATTTTCAAAACCTGGTGTAGAGCTTACACAGATATTTGTCTGGATAGCGGGCACTTATGCCTTGTCCTCACCACTGATATGCTGACATGCATCTAGACATGTCTGAGCACATCAGAACGGACCAACAGCACCTTCCCCAGGTCCCACTGTGTCTCTGATTGTAATGCCTCCAAATTCAGTCTTAAGCACAACTTAGTAAAATTCTTCCAGGCTTGTGTACAACAGGTTAGAGCCAGGAGGGTACCACCACGCCTCTGATTCCTTCTTTGCAACAAGCAGCATCTGCAAACAAGGCGGTGACAGCAGAGCCTCCAAAAGCATCAACATTTATGAACATTGAAGTCAGCTTCAGCCTACTCTGGTTCTGTGGGACATCCCTTGATATCATTGATGTCTAAGTTCCACATATTGTTTCTCTGGCAAAGAGCTAGGATATGCCCCCAGGTTGCCTTGCACTACCTCAAGTGGAGCCCTGCTAGGTCTTTCCTCGCAATGTAGAAGCTCTCCAGAGCTGCCCTGGTTCGAGCCAAGTATGGAGCTGTCAGTGCTGGGATTAGGGGCCACCTGAAACCCTATACAATGTTAAACCAATGTATAAATTGTACTTATTATCCCACCAAACCCCATAGGCACAGGAAAACCTGATGGCTCAGCAAGAGATCATACCACTGATTGAAGAGAGGACGAGAAACAAACGCACAACATAACGTGATAAGTTTTCCTAAATTTCTGTAGCAGTAGTACTGTAGAGAGGATCATGTCTTCAATGTGGGGACTGTATCTAAGAGCTTTTAGATAGGAAGCACTCCTTAACAAAACTGGTGGAAGAATCTCTCCCCCAGGGACATATTTGCCCACTTTCTCCTCTAGAGGAAACAGTAAAAGTGTTTTCTGGTGGAATCTAAAAAAAATAGAGTGGCAAAAATCAGCATCAGCTCAAATCTGGCACGCAGCTCGGGAAATATCAACCAGTTTGGTGAAAGTCTGTCTTCAGGAAAACAGGGCTTCCCTGGGGGGCCTAAAGCAGAGTTGTCCCCACATGTGATGGGAGGCAGAAAGGATGCATAACAGGCTGCTGTACAAGAAAACAGAAGTCCTTGTCCTGAGTTCAGGCATGCCTGACTGTGCAAGGTGAATGCCCTCCTTGCTCTCTTGCGGAGAGAAGATGCACAACCCACAGCAGAGCAAAGCAAGAATGAGAAGCCAACGCCTCTGCCCCACACCAGACCTGGTGCATTGTAGCTACACACAGTCCTAAAACACCTGGAAAATATCCAAGGACAGGTAGATGGATCACAGAGAAGGACTGGGCTGGATGCTCCTTTGCACAGCACCAGGGCAGGCTGAGTCCCTAAATCCCTTGGGGACTGACCCAAAGACGTGGTGCTCACATGGGATAAGTGCCTCAGGGACACTCCACCTGATTTACCATGGGACACCCCCCATCCCTCTCAGGACCTTTGGGATTGAAGCTAAAAAACTCCAGATTCACCCTCCCTGATCCCAACCCCCCTGCCTGGTCCAAGGATCCTCCCCAAATGCTTCCTTCCCCACAAATCCCCTGAACCTCTTCCAATTGCACACCAATAAAAAGTACATTATTAACACCCCTCTGTCTCTGCTCCCTCACGCTCTCTGATGAGCAATGAAACCTCCCTGAATTATGCTGCTCGGCATGCTTACAATTTAATTACATTTAAAGTCAATCAAGAGCTTCTGGATCTGAGTGGCTGTTTAAAGGGTTGGAGGGGAGGGGTGGGAGGAAAGGATGGGACAAAGACCCCCAGAGCTGGTGTGCACACACACACACATACACACAGACACAGAGGCACCTTCTGCAAAATAATTAGCATCAATCTATTTTCTGTCCCTCCTCCCATTCCCCCTCCCCCCTGCCCATTTTGCTGAGCTTTCTGGGGCTTTCTGGGGAGCAGCCCCATAGCAAAGTCCCACAGGGAACCTGGGGGAGGCCAGGGAGGGAGGTGGAGGAGGTCTGGAAAGAGGGGGGATAAGGCAGGCAGCAACAGCCTTCCCTGGTCCCTGCCACCTCCACCCCTGTGTCATTGAGGGATGGCACGCGCCTTGGTTTTAATTAGAAGGCGGTAATTGCCTTGGTGCAGAAAAACATCGTTCGCCCTGGTAGGAAGGGAGAGGGGCTTCAGGCTTGGTTGCCCCCAGGAGCTGGGGGAGGGAGGGTTTCATTGGGTGCTGCTCCAGGAGATGAGGACCTGGATTGAGTGATGAGACTAATCCGTTGCTCCAAGAGGACAAGGGCAACTGGGGTGTCTTAACCCTTGCACCCCCATGCCATGAATAAGACTGCTTGTGTCCAAAATCAGGAGGGGAGACGGTCCAACCTTGGGGCACGGGTAGGTCTGGTGGCTTCCCAGGGTCCCCTGGGGCTCTGCTGTGACTCCCCATTGTGTGTCCCTTTGAGGAGGCTTAGAGCACCCCAAGGAGTGAAACAGGGGGAGGAGAGTCTGTCCACTAGCAGAAATCAAAGCGATATTCTCCCAGAGTTTCAACAGAGGAGAGTGGGAAGATTGTCTGGTGCCCCTGCACGTTGCAAGGCACAGCCCGGGTGCCGCACCACGCAGCAGGGTCCCCTGGGACAGTGCAGGGCATAGCCACGGAGCCCAGCATGTTCACACACTGTGCCAAAAAAGTCTGTAACACGGGAGGAAATTAGGTCTTTGGAGCCCAAACCTACCCCATGCTCCCTGGCCTCCCAGTCCTGGTGGGAAAACCCTTCATGATCTCTGGAGAGACACAGGTTGAGCTCTGGAGTGTGACATTTGATTGTCTCCACCGGCAGATCGGTATGGTGGCATCACCCATAGCGCCTGCTGGAGAAACCACCCTGGCATCTGTTAGCCCCTGACCATGTCTACATGCCACCCAGGTCCACGGCAGCCAGCCTGGGTGGAAAAAGTGCTAAGCCCTGTGCTGACAATTAGGGATGGTGACTGAAGGTCTGTGGTCCTGGTTAGTATGCAAATCCAGATGACAGTGACTGCACGCCAACGTGTTCCCGGGTGTGTTTCCTCCCCGGAGACTTCCGTGGCAGCAGATCGGAGCTGACTCAGGAGCTGCACTTTGCCCTGAGCACACCAGGGCATGGGGTCTCTTTGAAACAAGTGCTCTGAAAACTCCCACAAAGGCTGTAGATAGTCAAACATCTCCTCCGCGGCTCCAGCAGCTGGGATAAATATTTATGAGGGATGTCAGTGTTGTGTTTCAGGACACACGCCAAACACTAACCACTTGAGGTTAGCAAGAAACTGCCCCCATTGGCATATTATTGGATAAGTGTCCATTACAGGGGCTGACTCCTTCCTCCGAAGCAGATGGGAGGGGATGCTCTCAGAGACAGGATATTGGATGAGATAGTGGCATCCCCGCGTTCCTTGATGATTGCTCATAAAATTAGCCATCCCTTAAAAACAGTCCTCCCTTGTCGATATTTAACTGCAGGCTGCCGGAGGGGGAGAGGCCATGCCCAGCTTCCTGCTGCTTCAAACGGGCACTGAGCAGGTTGCCTGTTGGTTTGCACAGCCCTGTTCTAGTCTTGGTTTTCCAGCCTGGTCAGGATTTCTCCCACCAGCCATGAAGCCATCCACGGTGTGACTGCCAGCTTGTGCCAGATGCTGGAGCGCCGTCCAACATGTAGCAAAACCCCCCTTGGTCATCTTCCCCCTCTGCAAAACTTGATGTTTCCGGGTCCCATGAGCCTGGTGGGTACCACCCACATCACGCAGACCACTGTATTGGGTGCCCCACTGGGACAGAGCAGTTCCAGGCTCAGCGATTTAAAGATCATTTGGGAACATCTTCCACGCAGTTGAGTCGCTATGAGGGTTCCTGGAACGGTGTTAGCCCAAGTACAGAGTCTGCAACGCCTGGGGTGGGTGTGCAGCCAGGGTGGTACCCACGGGCAGTGTGGATGGGATGTCCCAGTTGGGGATGGGGAG